CATATGCAAATGTGTGAGCATGCACACACACAACACACACCATACATGAACATACACACACACACACACACACACACACACACACACACCATATGTGAACATACATGTGTACACACACACACACACACATACCATACATAGACATACATGCACACACACACCATATGTGAACATGCATGCATGCACACATACACATACATACACACACACACATACATACACACACACACACACACACACACACACACACACACACACACACACAATCTGTGAAGGCTCCACAATTAGTCATGCTCCCTATACTATTCTTTAATCCACGTAGTCATCTGTCCTGAACATAACATGATTCAAAGAAAAAAACTTGGCTCCTCAGATTCACCAAAGTTGAGTTGTTTCCCATGCTGCTAGAGAGCTCTGAGTTCTGAACTCTCATCAGCATCAAAGCCCTTCTGGACCAAGGGCTCGCCTACTCGTCCAGTGGCTTCCACCGAGGGCAGAGAAACCATTCCCCTGAAACACTTCAAGTTGAACATCTTTCTCCCAGCATGAGCTGCGGTCACCAGCTGGCTCTGCGTACGTGTCCTAGCCACCATGTTTCTCAATGGATATTCTTACTCCAGCCACCTCTGTTCCCATAGACAGAAGTCACTTCAAAAGATGCACAAGGAAGGCCATTAAATGTACTCAGAGCAGGAGACCTCTGTTCTGGCTGGCCGATGCCAGCAGGAGTTTCTGGGTCTCCTTACATTATATTCTTTGTTTTTAAAGATAACAGCCAGGAACTTACTACAAAACTCTTCCCACCAAGGTTTGACTTAAATTTACATAAAAATCTAAAGTTACTTTTATACATGTCTTTTATTGAGTTCCCTTAGGAGGTCTCCTGCTAACTGGTTCCTTTTAAAATGATCCTGACATTGGAAAGTGGTTATGACATCTCCCCAAAGGGCCATGTTTCAACTGGGAATCCCTGGCCAGATGCCCCTGGAATGAGGAGCAGAGTGACTAAGTGACTTCAGGACATCTGTTTAGTGGTGAGAAATGAAAAGGTATTCATTCTCAGTGCGCTTAATAAATCCCAAATGGCGACTGGAAAGATTCACTACAGTCGTCAACAAAGGAGCTCCAGAGCCTGAGGAAGCTCACATCTGACAGCAGGGACTCCTGTGGAGAAAACGTGTTCCCTGGGGTTGACAGGGAACTGGTGTCATTAGTGCCAGCACTGTGGAAAGGAACACAGTGGGTAGAAGTGAGTTGAAGTGACAGAGCACAGTGGGTAGATGTGACAGACCACAGGACTCAAGAAGTACCTGCAGGCCCAAGAGTGACAGTGTGCATGGAAATGGCAGACCTTACTGGACATGTGCGAAAGAAAATGAGTCATATACTCCAAGGTTATCACATAAGTACATTCTTCCAAATTGATGAACTTTCGAGTTACTTTCACATTGTTTCATGAAATCTAATTTGCAATCCCAAGACTCTTTGAAATGTAACTATTTAATATAAATTTAAAAAAGAAACAGATGAAGGAATAAAGGGGATGGATTTTAACACTGGCTCAATCTCAAAAGCTGCATTATAAAATATATGATAACCAAATAATATACTAAAGCTTCATTTTACCTGTTCATCAAATGGTCCAGAATGCCCTGGAATGTGAGAACAATATCCCCATGAAAGTGCAGGTCTGAGTCACCAAGGAAACTAATTATCAAAGCACCAGGATAAGAATATAATGTTTGGAAATCAATAAACAGAAGGAGTTTTATCTGCAGAAGAGAAGGTGGACAAATTGGAGCATCCAGGAGAATGGAGGTTCTCAGAGAAGCAGAGGTTAGAAAATTGAGTGGGAGAGCCTAGCGATTAGGAGGAGGAAGGGTTAACAGAGATGTCAAGACTCAAAGAACTTGGAAGACATTGCAATTTTAATACTAAACTATTTTAAACAGTTGGCTGTGCAGAGGAAAACAAACAAGGGGGTGATTGGATCCTTGGAGAAAACAGTCAATAATTAGGTATTTTTATTAATAATTTACATGAAAGAAATACAGTGCAATATTTCATATTTCCAATTGGTGATAAATTGGTGTGGTAAAGAACCAACTTGGAAAGCAACCAGACACATTGCATAAGTGGTCATTTAGAAAAATAAAGGAGTCTAATTGAATTAGAATTTTGGACCAAGAGAAATAGTAAAATTTGCCCTTAATCCAATGGTTCTTATGATTGAAATTGGGAAAAATAAGCCAGCAGAAGTAAAACAGCAGTAGAAATTGCCCATAAGAATAACTCCACTTTATTTGACATAGGAGGGGGTTTAATTAGAATATATCTGTGAGAATCTCTGACAGCAGGCTGAGCAAGCGAAGCCAAGCAAGCCAGTCAGCAGCTCCCCTCCATGGCCTCTGCATCAGCCATCTGCCTCCAGGTTCCTGTCTCATTCGAGTGTGGGCCCTGACTTCCCTCAATGATGGACTGTTACTGGAACTGTAAGCTGAAATAAACCACACACACACACACACACACACACACACACACACACACACACACACACACGTGAAAGAAAAGAAGAAAGGGAGGATGGAAAGGAGGAAGGAAGGGAGGATGGAAGGGAAGGAGGGAGGAAGGGAGGGAGGGAGGAAGGGAGGGAGGGAGGGAGGGAGGGAAGGAGGGAGGAAGGGTTAGTTGAAAATTAAGTACACAATGGTGATGAACACAAGACACTGAAATACTCCTAGGAGAAAAAGTTAACAGAAAAAGAAAAAATTCACCTTGAAAAAACTAAATGACTATAGAAAAAAATTACTTCCTCCTAAGCTATTCATAATTACAACAAACTATTCTCCTGCCCTACAAAGGACCTCTGTATGGGAAGAATATGGATAAATAAAAGCAAGGTAATTCGATTTGCTACATGTAAGCAATCTTGAAAAGAAGAAAAAATTAAATACTGGAACATCTACTAAAAGAAGTTATAAGGTTTGTTATTTTTTTTCCATCCCTGGACAGATTTCAAGAAAATTTGGATCCTCTATCATGGAGTTTACATATTAGTAACTGTTTTACCTTATCAAACATGCTTACAGGGATGGTTGATTTCTTGTGCTTGATCATGATGAAACCGTTTTGTGACATTTGTAGGTTGTTATACATTTAGCTTTTGTGTTCTGGACCCACATATACATTATGCTTTACCAAACTGCAAATAGGGAAGGTTGAAAAAAAAAAAACTGCTTCAAGGGCACTGTCATGTTTGGTAAGATTTCCTTGGACATGGTAGTAATACAGCGCCACACTTCCAATCACACAACCAGACTTTTGTGGGCCGCCTGTTGCCACAGATGTTCCTCAGTTTACAATGGAGTCCCCATAAAGGCACCACTAAGCTGAAGATAATGTGAAATTAAAAACTGCATGTAACTCCTCCAAGCTATTGAACCTCAAGGATTAGACACACTGCAGAGCCTCAGCTTCTTCCCATCAGGAGGAGTGACAACTGTCAGTGTGACTGTCCAACACTTCATGAGAATGTCACACTGAACAAACATACTGCTAGGTCAGGGAAAAGGTCACGTTGCAAAATTAGAAGAATTCTTTCTACTGAAACATTGCAAAGGCACAAACTCCTAAGACTAACCATGGTAACTAGGAACTCTCTGTATATGTCTGGATATCTCTCTCTCTCTCTCTCTCTCTCTCTCTCTCTCTCTCTCTCTCTCTCTCTCTCTCTCTCTCTCTCTCTCTCCTTACTCATCATTGGGTTTACTTTTAGCTTTTCCCAAGCCCCAAGTTCTGGATCCTGTACTTTCATACCTCTAATCTTTCTCTTACAGTCCTTCCATTTGTTCTGCTAGGCTTCCCAATGTCTTCTGGCTCTTCACAAGGTTGGCAAACATTCCAATTATATACTGCTCAGTGCAGACTATGATGTTTGCACCTTACACAGACACTTTCCATACATTATTCACATATCCTCATCATATCTGCTTCCTTCCAACTAGCGGCTAATTCCTGAAGCTTTCACAGTGAACTGTATTCATACCCACAAACTTTTCTCATACCTTATTGCAGGCATCCACCACCCTGCCTAAGGTCCCTTTATTGGATGCCAAGTGCTTTATTCGCTTTGAGCAGGAGGCTCAGGTAAATAGCCCTTAGTGTAGCATTTAATCGAGGATGAATGGTTGGGTAAATCTCAAGATTTTGTTCACCTCAGGTGCAATAATTCTGAGCTGTGTTCTACAGAAAATCAAGAGTTCAGCAGCAGGATCAACACCCATAGTGCCTCATAATAAGCCTGTAATGATTTCCTTAACACCCTGGCCTCACTTTCTCAAGCCCCTTCCTCCTACACTACTGAAAATAGAAATCCATACCTCACTTTCTACCTCTTCCTTATTTCATGACATCCCTCCTATCCTTATACAAGCATTTTTTCAAAGAACTTACTTTGTTTCTTTAGTAACATTTTAAAAAACACACTTTAACATTTGAGTTAAAACAAACAATTTTGGTCTCTGTACATGCAGAGTATCTAGACCCAATGATGCAGTCACACTCTTTGGAAAGTGATTTTTTTTCTCAAGTAAAGTATGCCCAGATCGGGAAGTTTAAAGGGTTTGTTGTTCCTAGCAGTTTGAAGTCACATTTCTTGCAGAATGATGTGTGAATCTATGGTCTAGGATGGGAGGACTTGGCCACAGAAACACCTTGTTTTAGCAGTGAGAACTCTGCAAGCTGCCTGTTAGTGAAAGCAAGCATCTTATTTCTGAGTTCTGTTGTTTTTGTTGTTGTTGTTCTTTTGGTTTGGTTATAACCAAAAATGTAAATCAAATAAGACTAGATCTGGCTTTGGAGAAACATTTGAGTTTTGAAGTACTGATGGATTTAAGAATTAACGTAAGACCAAAGAAAGCAAACATTTGTTCGTATCCTTCTGAACGTTCCAGATGGTGAGGAATTCTGAAATAACTCAAGAGCAGGTCAAGTGGGCTTACCCGAATCATCATGACTGAACATCTGATATCATGGATTGTGTCGTAGATCTTCTTGGAGATGTCCACAAACTGATTATCATCAAGCACAGTCAGCGAATTCTTGCTTAAGGCATCCAAGGCAACATTGACTTGTGTCACAAACTCTGGAATCACTATGAAAATACAGAATAAAGAGATTATCTCTTTTGTATTTCTGGATTCCTAGACTTTCCAGGAAATGCAGAATTGTATCTTAAATGAGTATCTCGTTGCTACGTTTTTAATATTTTAAATACAGAGAATCACACATTATGGCAGAGTTATTTCAACCTCTGGAAAGGAAAAGCAATCAAAGGCAATGAAAAGTATAGTTATGGAAATATAAAATATTCTCTTTTTCTTCATGTTATGCTTCTTTTGAATAAGCTTGAGAGCATTTCTCATTTCTAAAACTATTGAATATGAAACTCAAGAAATTGAAAAATTGATATGATGTGAAAAATAGTTGGAATAATGATGTTAAAGATATTTAAAGAAAGAAAATACTAGGCTGGCAACTTAGTTCAGCATGCCAAATTCTTGCTGCCAATCCTGACAAGCTGAATTTGATACCTGGGATCTACAAGGTGGAAGAAGACAACCAACTCCTACAGATTGTCTTCAGAGCTCTACCTGTGTGCTGTGGCGTGCACACGCGCCCCCATATAAGTCAATGCAATTAAAAACTTGAAAAATTAACAAGGCCTCTGAGGTGCTAGACAGAAGACTATCTAGTTATTGAAACTAATTTTCTGTTATAAGAAGACTAGAAGTGTTATGAATGTTCTTTGGGTGAGCTTCTCTCCATAATCAAAATAAAATACCTTGATAGCATCTTACACACAGTAGCTCAGAAACAGCAGAACACTATGCACAAAGAAGAATCTTTTTAGGTAAATCTATAGGTGACTACTGTTTTTAAGTTATTAAAATAAGTATGCAACAAAAAAAGCTTCTCTAACTTCAAATATAAATTAAATGGGGCCAGAGAAATGTCTCAGCAGTTAGGAGCAAGTATGTTCTTCTGTAGACCTGAATTTGATTCTTACACCAACATCAGGTAGTTCAAAATCATTTGTGACTACCTCTTGGAGGGCTTACCACCTCTGGCCTCTGTGAGCCTTTTTTTTGTTTGTTTGTTTGTTTTGTTTTTGTTTTTTCAAGACAAGGTTTCTCTGTGTAGCTTTGGAGCCTGTTGTGGAACTTGCTCTGTAGACCAGGCAGGCTGTCCTCAAACTCACAGAGATCCTCCTGCTTCTGCCTCCCAAGTGCTGGGATGTGTGCTCCACCACCGCCCGGCAAACCTTTTGGACGGTAGTGTCTTGAGGTGACCCTGAGAGGTCTAAACTTCCTCCATTTTACAAGCTGGGTCTAAGTTTCAATCTCTTAAACAAAGGGCTATTAAACAAACACCCTTACATTCAGGGACGAGGGATAGCATGAACAAGGCCCGAGTCAGCCCTACAATGTCTCCAGGACAGTTTCTGCAACCACCTTGAAACTTACCCAAGTATGTCCAAAGATAAAACCTCAGCCAATTAAAAGTGTACTAATGTAACTGCTGCTTGCTTAACCAATTATGTTTGAGATGACCTAACTGTTCCTAAAATTCCCCTAGCTGTGCTTAAAGGGAGCCTACATGCTCCTCTCGGGGTCATCGCCATTTCGTAAAGGAGAACGATCCCCACATACACTGGTAAATCAAAGCTCTTTGCTCTTTGCTCTTGCATACTGTTTGAGTCTGGGGTCTTCCTTCAGAGTTTTCTCAGATCTTACAACCCAGAGTAGGTAAGAAAGATATAGCCAGACACACTCTTGAGGTAATCCATTAGCAGCTAAATCCATTAATGAAAGTATGAATGGATGAATCTGTTTGTGAAGACAGTATAGTTCCTTTGAGGGTTCCATTGGGATCTGCCTTTTACTATCTCATAATGAGGATTAGATTTGAACAAAGTTTTAGAGGGGTCCAGTAATAATCAAACCAGTCACCCACTGAAAGCAAACAGGTAAATAATAACAAACCAAGTGTTTTCTCTGACTTCCTATTCCTCTTCATTGTCTCTATCCAAATATCAAGTGCAATATATGTTATCATCTAATGGTATCCTAAATCCATTGCCAAATTGTACTCCTACTGTCTCTAGCCATCACCATCTCTTACTTGAGCCCATTCTATGGTCCTGCTACTATTTATATTATGTTTCTTTCTTAGGATAATCAATCTTATTAATGAAACCACTTCTTTAAAAAAAAAAGATTTGCCACAAATTCAGCAGCCAATAGTTTCATGAATGAGTCGTTACTGTGATCTTAAGTGTTCAATGAATTTTTGAAACCTTTTCCTGTTTGTATCTTAGCTGCCTACCCTGGTATGTAGTAGATAAATATTTTGGTGAGTTGAGTGGCTAAAGAAATGAATGAATAAAATCTACAAAAGCTAAGCAAAAGTATGGGGACAATTTTGACTATTCAGTTTGCATTTCAATGTGATTTAGGTTTTGTTCATTTCAGAGGTACATCAAAACATATTTATGCAGGCTTCTAGAAGCATTCAAATATATTGAATGAGTGAATATTTATTTATTTATTCATTTTGCAGTATGGAGAGAGGTAGGAACTCTTAATAAAAAACATGGTCAGCGATTCCACATCTCCTTCAGGTTCTAGTTGTGAACACAAACCACCCACCCAAGTCACTACCATAAACAAAGTAAGTGAATGGCTTCTAGCTCCATTAGCATCCTTTATTCACCCTAAACACATAGTGGAGTATACACTGTGCTCTCAAAGGCTGTTACAGCCTGTTGAAGAATCCTCCTCACTCGAAACTATTTTACCAACATGCAGGCAACACATTAAGTCTTGATTGACACTTTCAATCTGTTAGCATCTCTCTAGTGGCAATGCTGTCCCCATCATCTCTCTTCCCATTCTGGAAGTACAGATGGGAATTACGACTTTTTCCTTAGCGTGTAATGAGTTGCTTCTCTTTCATTACCTTAAACCTCATCTGTGCCTGTACTTCACTTAGACCCCAGTCATGCGGTTGCTTTGATTGACCTAGGAATTATTGCTCTTAATGCTTCCAAGAGAACACAAAGTAAATATATATTATGATTAACTGCTTAAAGAAGACTCAGGAATATGACAAATCTGTCTTGAGTTCATAATCTACCTGGGTTTTGAGAAAATGTAGGTCTGGCAAGATGGTTCAGTGGGGAAGGGAGATCACTGCCAAGTTGGGAGACCTGAGTTGGACCCCTGGGACCCACATAGTGGAAGCAAAGAACTGACAACCACTGGTTGTCATCTGACCTTCACACACACACACACACACACACACACACACACACACACACATACACACACCAAAAAAGAATATAACAAATATATGCTTCTCGATCACTCATCAAAAAGAGGTACATGTTAAACAAATTCATTCTAGTCAATTGAAATGCTAAGTAAGATAAACTTCTGAGCTTTGAGGTGCAGATTTGTGCAAGAAAGGTAGAGGTAGGGGCAACACTTTGCTTGCTTCAAGCAAAGAAGCTTGTCTACTTCATTCACTAAACTCTAAACCAGTTCGGAATGCCCTTGGAAATCTGTGCTTTCTTTCTTCACTGTGTTCAGAATGTATAGAATGACTGATAACTTTCGTTGGGTTTGCATTTTCATTTAGAGATTCATTTTATTTTATTTGTGTGTGTGTGTGTGGTGGGGGGTACCACAAGAGGACAGAAGAGAGTGTCAGAACCCCAGAAGCTAGTCTTGCAGGTGCTTATGAGTCACCAGCTATGGGTGCTGAAAAGCAAACTGGTCCTTTGCAAGAGTATCAGGTGCCCCTGACTGCTGAGTCATTTCTCCAGCCCTATTCTTTGGGGCTCTTAAGAAAAATAAAGGAAAAAAAAATTTAATCCTTGGGAGGGAGAAGGGAGGGAGCAAGGGAGGGAGGGAGAGCAGACACCTCTGGGGAGATCAGAAGGCAGCCTCAGGTTTCAGGCCTCATCTTCCACCTTATTTGAAGCAGTGTCTCTCTTGTCTTTTTCTGGTTACTGCACTGAGGTAGCTGGCCCACGAGCTTCCAGGGATTTTCCCGTCTCTGCCTACCCTTTTGCCCCAAGAAGCGTAGGACCTCTGGCTGTTGTGCTGTGCCTTTCTTGGGTTCTAGCTGTCTCCCAGCCCTCACTGAGTTCTTACATAGCCCCATATGGAACATGTGACATGCATGTCCAATGCAATCCTCACGGAAGTTTCGGAAGTTGGGAACTATTACTACCCTGATTGAACTGATGAGGAAACTTAGGTCATAACAGCCAATCAGTGAAAGGTAGGGAAGGGAGACACTGGAGCTTGCTCTCTGAACTCTAAATCGTCACTGCTTCCTTTTAATAAGTAAAGTCCTTGAGACTTCTAAACTGCAGTGCTCCTGGGAAAATTAATGTTAATTTCCTGACAATGAGATTAACAGACCTGTGGAGCCAAAGTCTACTAAGCCTTGAGCCTTTCTCCAGTAGGAACTCACGAATATTTTATCCCTCTTAATCCTTGCTAAATTTATTATGTGCATTTGAAAGTAGGTGAGGGTACATAATTACTAATTAAATAGGTCAGAAAAGAATTCAGACTCATTATAAGTGATGCTTAGAAATGACGTTACCAATTCATGTTGTCAGTCACTGATAAACTCAGATTAAAATATTGTAATTGTGCTGCTATCTTTGAAGATTACTGATGTACAGAGAAGTCTGCCTTGAAAAAGTCACATAGAGCTAAGTCACTGTCTTATGGTGCTCTGTTTCACAGCTGAGGGAGTGACTTATGACAGAAAGTACAACTCACCATAGAGTGGCTTCTAGAATTACTTCATTCTCTTCATTTCTTCTTTACTTAACATTAATATTATAGTTCATATTTGTGTAATATTTATGGATCCAATATGGACCCCGTAATAGAGAACTATTTGGAATCTCCGAACATCCAACTCCATGACTAGGGAAGAACTTGCCCCTTTTCAGAGATTATGTCCGGGAGTTCTGACTGACTCAGACCACATAGTTCATTAAAAACAGTTTTTCTATCCTTCTTACAAATTCTGCCTCTACCATGTGCAAAAACTAAGAAATAAATAAAG